AGCAAGAAAAGTTACGCAACGTTGCAACTTGGTCTTGGCAAAATGGATTATGTGTCTTGAACGCTCACGCTTTAATCATATTCCTGTCGAACGTCGTTTGAGCGGAATAGTTTATGTGGTCGTAATTAGAACGCGCGACATTAGACGAGATCAAAAATAAACGCGTTGCTCTCGTTATTCAGATCGAAGGATTATTCAGTCAGCGGATTAAACGATTTATCGTTTACAGACTTATACCTATACGTATTAATATATGCTTTATTATTCCATTTGAGGTATTTTGAAAATAAACGATTTAAATAAATGTAATAGAGAGAGAAACGTATGTTGTGCAAGTAATTTACAAGTGTAATCCGCATTTTTGCGGATCGAGAACGATTCCATGATGATTTTATATAATTTATGATGATTGGATGATCGCAACGCAGACAAATACACTATTAACCGCAAGCACATTTGATTTAATGGAAACGCGGATGCGACCTGATTCGTCCAATAAGTGATTATATTGTAGCGATCTTGCATATAACAAATTTACATTTAAATGGAAGATAACGAGACGATTCTCCTCCGTAAGCGTAAAAAGGTCGTACGCGCGCTGTTTGTACGATCATAATTAACCGGCGCGTTCTTTCCTCTCTAACATTTTTTTCCGGTACTCTCTTCCGCCGGTGAGTAATTAATCGCATGGTGCGCGAACGACGTTTTATTTAATTTCGTCATTATATCTGGCTTCAACCGTACGAACGTGAGGGAGAGGAGCCGACAGTAATAATTAAAATCTTTCGGTTCGACAGCTCGCGCATTGAACCGTGCGACGAGATGGGAACGTATTGTACAAGAGCGCAAAGGTTCAACGATGGGGGTTTGGTTTCATTAATATTTTTCGTTCGAGCAAAAAGTAGCACGGCGCGTCCGTGTAATTGTGATGAACAACTATTTTCGCCCGACAAACCAGTTCGCACGCATTTCGTTCATGCCGTATACTATAATTGTCCCAGCTCGTATATCGTTTCGCAAACAGAGGCTCGAACTTAATTCGCGAACTTAATAATAAATCCTTTGGATTAGCGAATATTAAAATGTTTTCTTGCCTCACTACTCCCGTAAATTTGCCGTATATATTACGGCATAAAATAAGTGGGCGAAAGACTCGCGACACTCAAAGTGCGTTTCATGCCTACGACTATATTACGTCGAATGCATTAGGCAGCATGCAAATGACTGTCGGCGCGATTTAATTGAAAATGTAATAATCCGGTTGGTTGTTAGCAGAGGCAAGATTAAAAAGCCGCCGTCTCTAAAGTTTTCAGGGATTCTCACGAACGAGGCTCGCAGAGTTTACGAATTTAATATAAACGGTATCCCCTGGCATACACGTTTGAAGATTAGAGTTTGTTCGTGAAAGAAAATTGGTATGCGTATAATCGATGCAAACATTTTATCGTGTTTGTTTGATGTTCTGAGAGATGTATATTTCTTTAACAAACATTTAACTCTTTTGCGTTGATATTTTACAGTCTTTAATAAATAATTAATCGATCCTTAAATGAATTCAGTACTCATGAGCAATCATTATTTGTGTGCGTGTTGTTTGATTACAATCCTATAAATCTATAATTATTGCAATATACATTCTTCAGAGAAATGTATATCTTATAATTACTGAGATTATTTGGTTAATTAAATATCTATCTATCTAATATGTGATACTTAATCGTTAACGTAATTTGAATGTCGTGAGAGATTTCTTTTTCGATTATTATTCCGTTATTTTCATACAACTAATTAATTGTATTATTTAATTGTACAATTAGTAGATTTTAGATATAAACTGAACCTGGAATAAAGATGCAACCTTATACAATTAGTAATTAATTAGATATTTAAATAAAAATTCTGTCTATACATTATAACTTTACTTGAAAAATCAGTTATTCTCCGCAATGAATGAGAATCAACTATGAATACTAATGACAGATTCTTCAAACAGTACTTCGTAGAATAGAGGCGGATATATGACATATGAATAGGTAATATAGGTATAATGAGTTGTTCATTAAATTCAAAATTATATCTAGTGTTTATTCCCAAATATAAATGTCTAAATATTTAATTATTAATCAAGATAAAAATATTACGATAAAAATTGTTATAAATTATAAAACACTTATTCCATTAATAAGTTAAATTAAACCGTTTATATGAATAACATAAATAAATAGAAGAGAGGTGTCTAGTAATATTTCTGTGTATAAATAGTAAATAATAACGAATGTTGCACTCGCGAATTCAACAAAGTCTAACGAAGCTTAGTGACTAAAATATACATATTAGCATTTAATAATTTAATATAGAAATATTTTAGTTACTAATTTGTTATTATTTATTCTTTTGCTTTTAATTTTGTACGCTTATTCTATGCCCATTAATTTTCTAATGTATTCGTTTGTTAAGATATTTCTTATTTTTGAAGAAGTCTGTGCTGTGCATACACACAGGGAAAAAGCCAAGTCAATGGCATCCATTCAATTAATTCGTCCTCTTGTTCGTTCTGATGAAATGTCGAGATACAACATCATTACTTCAGGATAAAGTAAAGATGTGGAAAGGATGATACTGGGGTAGTTCTCGTTTCCTCGTACAGTGTATCTACAGATACTCTCGTCCAGGCTTGGATATCATCAGATCAGATAAGTGCGCTTCCGCCGTATAGAAGAATTACAGAGCGCGCTGCGCCGGGCGCGAAAAAGATGAATCAAACTTCGCAACGCCTTCTATTTGACATACAGTACGCTTCAAGTATATCGTTTGTGGAAATAATGCCTATACCGCACGAGATCGGTGGAAGTATCATGCTGGAGGAATACTAATGTGATGAAAAGTCGCTTGCAATGCGTACGGCGAACGCATTACACGAATAGACTTAACGAGAAAGATATATGTATAATGAGATATTGATGCTACCACTATAATTACGTTATTATATCAAACTTGTGCTACGAAATTTATTGTATTCTACTATAAAAGTCAAACTTAATATCACCCAACGAAAATTGTTTATTCCTCCGAATCTAAAAATATGATAATCTCGTGAGCCTCATTATGATCATTTCTCACTTTACTTCTCTCTCTCTCTCTCTTTCTCTCTAAAGATAAAAAAATACAGTTTATTGAAGAAACGTTACCTAATCATATCGATAGAAATTTATGCCGTTTGATGCGTGTTAAAAATTTTCGTGCTTAAATTAATCGCATAATCCTATTCCGATGCTACTGCTAATTAGTGCAGTATTAAGCACGGAGATTCGAGTCCTTATCTTCGAGTACGTACTAATGCCGCGGTGCATATACGCGTTAACGTGAAATGTCACGCGTGCACGCGCACGTGCGTGCGTGTGTGTGTGTGTGTGTGTGTGTGTGTGTGTGTGTGTGTGTGCACACATCTGCTTCGATGCAGCTGGAGTTTGAGACGATTATCAGGTGCGTATTTGGAGTAATGTGCGTGGTCCAGAGGCTTGTGCGGTCGGTAAACTCTCCAAGCCATCTCAGATGTGCTCTCTCACTTGTTATATTATGACACGCAATTAAACGACTGAAATGTCTGCCACACGATTGCTTGATTAAAAATAAAATGTTAATTTTAACAATATTAGTAATGTTGCTGAAAGGAATTTAAAATACTAGTTTTTGTAATTGTTTTTTTTTGTCAAAGTTTATTTCATGTATTATAATAGATACGATAATTTTGTAATAGACAAAGGGTCGAAAAATTTCTGCTGTAGGGAATATGCTCAGATGATACATATACGATACGTATATTTATCCATATGCTTAAAGAGTAGAGCCATGCGAGGTAAATGGTGATGTATTAATCCTTTGAATACGCGTCAAACATGCACAGACACGATGGATATGTATACTTATCTATTGCAATCGACGCTATCAAAATTCCGCGCTGCTCTGCACTCGATACCTCGGTCTGATATCGCGGACGCAACCATCCATACAAATCGGATCTTACTAAATTGGAGTACAATTTTCACGAGCAGAGTTCCACGAGCTCGAGCTACGAAGGTAGGATAAGAAAAAAAGAGAAGGGGAGGTAAGATAAAGTCTCTATCCCTCTCTAAGCCGGCCGTGGAAGATGAAGCGAATCAAGTAACAGCGGTGGCTTACGTGCGATGCACCCCTAAACCATCGCTGAGGGAGCATCACGTGGAAACGCGTTACCCACGAAAGATCTGTGCTTAGAATTCTCAAGCCCGCTAAATTATATTTCATGTCACGGAGCCGATGATTCTTGAAATACATAAGCCGCGATGATAATCTCATTTCGTTAGTCGTATTCGGCAGTGTCACGACGTCCTTCGCACTTCCGGAAATTTATAATGATGGAAAGAAATATAGAGTTAATGATGCATGTTTACAGGGGAAAAATAACATGTTTAATCAAGATATTTTTTGAAATATTGAGGAGGAATTATGGTAGTTTATATCAGAAGAGAGGAAAAAATTAAACGTCAAAGGTACATACACTGAGGAAACGTGTACTATATTTTAATAAATATTTGTTTGAATAGTACTGACTTAAATTTACTTACGATAAAAACAAATATTTATACTAAATAAATTCATCGTATGTTTTTATTGTAAATCGTACATGGATACGTATATGGAAATTATATTTAATCGGTAAATTAGATTATCGATAAGACTAAACTACGATTTTATCGAAGTTCAGTCATCGTTTCCTTAAAATGCACAAAATTATACATATTTATACTATATATTAACGTTTAAATGTTAGATACATACAAAGATTAATGTAAAATAATTGATATTTATATGTTTTATTTATGATTACTTTCAATCAAAGCATAACACATACCATTAAATAATATATTGTCCAATATATGTGTGTGTGTGTGTGTGTGTGTGATACACTCTTGTCTTTATATTTTACATACATATAAAAATACATATATTATAATTGTTGCATATTCTTTAAATTAGATGTTTGTTACAAAATGTTATAAACTGGATAATGTTTCCTTCAGCCTCACCTTTAGATCATTAGTATTTCGATCTTCAGTATCGGGTGAGCTGTTTATTGTATCTCCATCTTCGGCTGAGTTGGTATTTTCATCACTGGAATTTTTTCAGTTAACATTAATAATTAATGTAATTGACTTAGTTTCTATATTTTTATTTATATAAAAGCCAAAACAAATTGTATTTACAAGTGTAGTGTAACTTTGTCGCGTATTTACGATTCTAAATCAGAAATATTTCAATCTCCAATAATTTCAATCAATAAGTACCTTAATTTCGACATCTCGAATATATCTAACGTAATCACGAACGAAACTCATGACTCACTTCTAGATTACTATTAGAAAGTTTATCATTGTCGTTGTCTTCGTTGCCATTATCAGATGCGCTGTTGTCTCCATCATTACTAAGCGTGTTGTTTCCATTTCCATCAATGGGTTCGTTGTTTTTGTCACTATTTTTGGATGCGCTGTTGTTTCCATCATCACTTTTGGCTGAGTCGTCATTTTCATCCCTAGCATCAGATGCGATGTTTCTTTTAGCCTCATCTTCTGCTGGGTTGTTATTTCCATTTTCGGCTATATTTTCATTCTCAGCATCAGATGCGCTGTTTCCTCCATTCCCGGCATCGGATGCATTGTTTCCTTCGTTGTCATCCTTGGCTGAGTGATTATTTCTATCCTCTGTGTTAGATGCGTTGTTTTCTGCATTGCTATCTTCGGCACTGTTTTTTCTGTCGCCATCTTCAGCTGATTTACTATTTTCATTCTCTGGATTGGATGCACTGTTGTTTCCGTCCTTGGCATCAGGTGCACTATTTCCTCCATTCCCATCTTTGGCTGAGTTGTTATTTTCATTCTCAGCATCAGATGCGTTGTTCTCTCCATCCTCGACATCGGCTGCACTGTTTCTTCCACTGTCACCTTCGGCTGAGTTGTTATTTTTATCCTCTGCATCGGGTGCGCTGTTGTTTTCATCCCCAGCGTCAGGTGCGCTGTTTTTTCCGTTGCCATCTTTGGCTGAATTGTTATTTCTATCCCTTATATCAGGTGCACTGTTTTTTCTGTCGCCACCTTTAGCTGAATTACTATTTTCATTCTCTGGATCGGATACTCTGTTGTTTCCATCCTTGGCATCAGGTGCACTATTTCCTTCGTTCCCATCTTTGGCGGAGTTGTTATTTTCATTCTCCGCATCAGATGCGTTGTTCTCTCCACCCTCGGCATCGGATGCACTGTTTCTTCCATTGTCACCTTCGGCTGAGTTGTTATTTCCATCCCCTGCATCAGGTGCGCTGTTTCTTTCATCTCTAGGATCGGATGCACTGTTTCCTCCATTGCCACCTTCGACTGAGTTATTTCTATCCCTTACATCAGGTGCGCTGTTTCCTCCGTTGCCATCCTTAGCCGAGTTGTTATTTCCATCTCCGGCATTAGGTGCGCTGTTTCCTCCATCCCTGGCATTGGGTGCACTGTTTCCTCCATTGCCACTTTCAGCTGAGTTGTTACTTCTATCCCCTGCTTCGGATGCGCGGTTGTTTTCATCCTCGGCACTCGATGCGCTGTTATTTTCATTATTTTCTTCGCTATTTTCAGAAGTTTCAAATGTGTTCTTACTTTCTTCGCTATTAGATCTGTTATTATCTTCATTATTAGGTGTCTCGCTAGTTGTACTGGGAGCAGTTGTTGTTAAAGTATTTTTTGCATAACCTTCCACGTGTATTTGTATTCCTTGTCTATATCTTCCAATAATCATTATAGCTATATTTGTCTGACTGTGTCTCTTCGGTATAAATAGAGTTGGTTGATTCCCGATATTTGTGATTTTTATATAAGTGAGTACTGTATTGTTTGGAGCTTTTACACCTACTGTGATTAAGACGGGCTTGAAGGCAGAAGTCTGCGATTCACACATAAATAGAATATTAGTTTGTAAATAAGATATTAATTATAAAATTATAAGACTGTGTAAGAAATATTTTTATTTGATCGTCTAAATATCTAAAACTGTATTATCACTAAAATTTTTGAATAACCGATGAAATAATTATAACAGTGCATTACATAATTTATGTTTTATCTTAGACTTATGTTTTAAATAAATTGATGTAATTGATTGATACAATATAAAAATAAAAGTAAATTATATTAAATTTAAATTTAAGACATACATCAGATAAGACTCAATGCATTATTTTTATTATCAACAGAATTTGATATAATATTTATACGTGCAAATTAAAATAGATTAAAAAGATTTCTGAAATTCAATAATTAAAATCTGGATCATATAAGATGGATTGTTTTGTTTTTAATTTAATATGTATATGAAATAATTATAATCGAAATAATGACATTTACCTTATTAATAATTCTATCAGTAATAAGGTAATCATTTTCTTGACGTTCACCTATGACAAAATCATTCTGATAATTTACGTGTCTGCAGATAGCCAAAGTAAGACACAAAAGAACAGAAAATAAAATCCGCATTTTAAAAAGTTAATTGTGAAGCCGTCCGTTGACTAAAAGCATACTGTTCAATTCGTAGTTGCCCAACGTATTTATATCTTTGCGTTATCAATTCTCATGCTTGGTTGCAGGAAGACTCGCACCATATTAACTCTCAGATTTCTATCTCGACAATGACAACAGCTTACGTAAGGTTATTTGTTTCATCTTCTGTTCCATCTTTCATTTCATCTTTCTTACAGGTTGTAGAAATTTCTCGGCATGATACGTTTTCATCTTATTCTTTTAGATACGGAAAGAGAAAACGTGCACAAATTATATAATTATATAATTATACTTTGAGAGATTTTACGATTTTTTAATTATTAATATAAAACATTATATACGCAGTTTTATGGCATATTACGCAGTATTCTATTTTTCATAATATTGTATCATAAAATTGATGTTTGAGAAAAATTAGGGATGAATTTCGGATATCCGGCTAATAAAAATTTTCAGGGTATTTGCAAAATGATGCGTGTCATTTATAAAGTTTCAGCCGCATATATTGCCGGAAATCAGATACTAGCCGAATGTCCGGTGCATTCCTAATTCTTATTAACTATCAATTTTATGACACAATGTTATTAACAATAGAATGCTTTGATATGTCACCTCTAATAAAAATATCATTTGTGTATCACGTGATATAAATTATCTTCCTGGAAACTTACATGTTTTCAAACATTTCCAACACTCACTGTTATATTAAGGCTGCTCATTGGGGGTCTGATAACGTAAATACCATTGATAAACATTACACGTGTCATTGTTAGTATCAGAGTTCCTGACGTAAGTGGGTTTTTAATCAGAATCAAATATTACTACTGGAAAATAACGTGTAAGAGACATGGCGTATGATTTCTGCAAAGTTGTGAAATATTTCAAAATTTTTATCACGTAGGCATATTTTACCCATGACATTGTACCTCAAGATCTAAAAATTATTCTCACTATACTCTTCTTCATATATCTTATCTATTTTATGTATTTTTCTACAGATGAATATTTTTCAGGTAGTTACATCATTATTAATCATCAAAAATCCTCATGAGCATCATCTTGTAAATATCTTCACTTTAACAATTAATTATTTTTATTTTATTTCTTTTGTTCGCGTCAATAACGTCGTCGCGACTTTTTTCTGATCTCCACAACTCTGTCGACCATATCGCGCAAATTAATTCCTTTTCATAAATTCAACGCGAAGGAACGTTTCATATTCAACGCCATAACTCGAAACGTGTTCGTCGGTACGTGTGTAATCTTGAATCTCAGACTCATCATTTTCAGCCGCGTCAGCTTATGGTACGTGAGACCGTAAGAATTAGCTAAGTGAGTAGCTACAGCAGTAGCTCTACAGCTTTTACATATACAAAACTAGTGGTAGACGGTGGTTGAAACGAACGAATCATACGAAATTAACAAACAGCTTATCTTATCATCGAAAGACAACTTACAAATCTTTTCCAATGTAGACAATGACAGTCGTTTAATAGCTGGTAGACGTCGAAAAACGTTTCCGGTCTACCACTGACAATATCTGAGAGTTGCTGAGAAAGTATAAAGTCTTTTTTAAAATTCAGTCCTAATAATAAATTTGAAATTCATATTCGCGACATTAAACACTGCCAGGAAGTGCTTGGATTCAACAAAAGGTCATTAATCTCTTTCTCTTTAAATACTTTATAATTTCTTTTCTCTATCGAAAATATTGATTCGTCACAATATGCATTACATTTCAATCTTTGATGATTAATAATTGATATCTTAGATAAAAGATTTATAAAATACGTAATAGAATATTATTAATAGAGCAATATGCAATCTATTGGGAACATATTCGTTAATAATACAAAATGCATAATAAAATTGGAACAATAGATTCATATTCGATTCTGGGTGGAATCTATTATATTGTACATTAATTTTCATGAAAAAAATGCGAATAAATTCAATTTATCCGCAAAGAAATATAAAATATTTAATCCTATTAATTTGTAAATCGTTATAATTCATGGTTTTATAAAGAGATACGTATTTTTTTATGAGAGATTCAATTTAAATACTATATAAAAAATGGATTTTTAACTGATATTTATATATTGTATGCAGGTACATTCAAAATTTTTATTAAAAATTATCAGAAAAACTGTCAGATAAATATTTTATCAAATAACGAATTTACAATTGTACATCTATATAATCATTGTTTAATTTGATACATTTTATTGATTGACATACATACGCAAAATGCGCTTATGCATTTATTTTAGTATTCATCAAAATCTAAAGTTTCCTCCAACAGACTATATGCTACGTAAAATTTCTAAGAAAAATGTGTAAGTTCAATATTACACTGATAAGAAATCTTATCTTGTTGAGATCATGGTCGTTATATCCTCATTATTTTGTTCGGTTAGCAATCTAAAAGTAACCAGTGAGTGAATCACAGATATTGCCGTCTGTATTTCACTCGAAATGTTTGTCCTATGTAAATTGCAATTAAATCAAACTGTAAATATTTTCTTATAACAAACGTATTCGGTAGGTTACACAAAAGATTTATTTTACCCAATCACATTCTAAATTACGTGTTCATTTATATAAATGCTTATTAGATAAATTAAACTACAATTAACTGTATAAATTTAATCTTTTTAAAGAGCTTTAATTAATAAACTTAAATTATCAAATTTAATTTTCAAAAGTCTCTTTCAGATAGCAATATAGCGATCACACGCTCCATAAAAATAATTAGAATATATACTAAATCTTTTTATTTATAAATTTAAGAATAGAATTTCATGCGATGTGCTGTTGGGTGTTAAATAAAGGAGAGAAGATGCTTAACGATCGCCTTTGAAACGTTTTTCGTATCAATATGTAGATGCGTTGCATCATCGCACCCTCTGCGTATATATGTATGTTCACACGGCTGCTGGTAATTACTCACGTCACATAGCCGCGTTGCTGGCCACGGATGCCATTTTTTATACTATCAAGAGATGCCAGCAGCCCGCGCAGTCTGCCATCCAGCGGGTAATATCAGCCGATGCTTTTTATTAACGCCGAGGAGAAGAGAGACCGTGTATCGATCCAATAAACACCGTCACGTCGGATCGGGCGAGAACAATCGCTACAGAGGATAAAATTCTCTGCTTGATCTGACCGCGAGTGGAAATGGCACGTCACGTACAAGCGATCTCTTCTTTCATTAACGTTACGAACGTTTCACGCATCGCTCCTAATCACTGCCCGCGAGTACAAGCGATCACGAACATCGTGAAAAGAAACCTGCCCTGCCTGCCTTTCTCTCTTTCTCTCTTCCATTTACGCGCGCTGGTATGCCCTTGTTTCTACAATTCCCGTCGGACTTAAATCCCGTCTATGTAGTTTCTCGAGTTAATTCATTATCAAGTAAATCCATTATTTTTCATTTTATTTTTTCTTTTTAGAGATCTGTAAAGTTTAACTTAATGAAAATTAATCTGTTAGACGTATAAGTTATACATAAATCGAATTCAATATTTTCCTTATACTTTAAGACCTTGTTCTTGAACTTCTACTCTTTACTCGAGTAACAGCTTCACTAATGATTATCAAACGAGATAAGCTCTTGAGAATTATATCATCGCGAAATTCTTTGTATATAGATTTTCTCTATCTCATTTCTATCTTAAAACGATTCTGTCTTTTATCAGCATTAATTTATAAGTTACTCTTATAATTTTTTATAAACATCTTTATTTATCTATTAAATTGAACGAAATTTTCTAGGCAAAATGAATTGTCGAAAATATTTTTCATTCATCGTCATTGGAACTAATTTCATCATACGCTGACATTATTATTTCACGTCCATTATTGTCCACGCGTGTTGCGTAAAAATAGAGAATTTTATCCACTTCACACTATAAATTTCCAAAAGCCTGATGTCAATCAGAGCATCAATTCGATAAATATTGAACTAGGCGGGGTATCAATCAACCATCAATGCGTCTTGTCCTGAGCAGATACGCAAATGGCTGACTGTGAACATATTCTCTCCTTGCGGTGACACCGATATCGCATACGTACATATTACGCATCGTTTGTCATCATTATCCGTACCGTAATTAAAACTTTCCGACTTATGATGAAGGATTGCGCGACCTGATTTCCATGAAAATAGAATGGTCATTGTAAATATATCATGCTTTGCCCTATATAAAAACATAACATTGTTCAAAAACTGTCATTTCGAGCGCGGTATGAAATACTCTCCGATTCTATAAAAGTTCGCCGCAAGAGATTGCATCGTTTGCAGTTATATGAATTAATACAAACATAAATATTTACTAAATAATAAATAAATTATACAATGATAAATACATTTACAAAATATATTTATTGTTAATATGGAAATTACATAATAATGAGTTATAAAATAGAAATATAATATATAATAATAAAAGTATATATTAATAAGAAGTAATGAAAAATACAAAATAGTAATGTTTTTAAAACCTTGTTCTTGAACTTCTATTCTTTACTTATAACAGTCTCATTATCAGATGAGATAAGCTCTTGAGAATGATATCATCGCGAAATTATACTTTCCAATGCGTTATGCATTTAGACATTTTAGACTTATGCTCCCAACTCTGCCATGAGAGAATAATATATATCACGATATAATATGATTCTTTTTAAAGAAAATTTTAAAACATAACAGTAACTTCACCCTTTTACTTCAAAAACGACATAACATAAACAAATTAAGTTTTTCGAAAAAAGAAAGAACTATTTCAATTAAAAAAAAAGTATTGATTAATCAATTAATATTGCCAAATAATATTGCCAAAAAAATACTCTTAACATAATCAAATGTCATTTTTGTCATTTTTATTCTACAACTCACAAAAAAATCATCCTTTTTTTAATTATAACAATTTTGATGATATTTTACAAAGATAAGTTACTTCAGTTTTTTTATGATTGACAGAATAACGTTTATTTAATTCATGAT